GGCCTAGGATTCTAATTCAGGCAGTCTGGCCCCAAAGTCCTCTCTTTCACTGCTGTTAAGTCTGTTCCAGAGATAGAATTCCAAAGGACAAGGTCAAACCCAGTTAAATAAGTAAAGATAGTTTTAACCAAGAGTCAAGAATTAGAACTAGAGTCCAAGTAAGAGAAATTATTTTAGGTGAGTGATTCTTAACTTTCATCTTATCAGTCTTAAGTAGGTTTGATAACATGGACTCTGGAGCCAGAAAAGGGGAAATAATTGTACTATTTTCTAGAGATGTTTTGGGGATCAAAAGTGAATGCACGTAGAGCGTGTCATACAGTATTCAGTAAATATTAGCTATTAGAGATCTATTAACATCCTTCCTGGAAACTATATATATATATTTAAACTATATATATATATACATATATATAAAAATATATATTTATATATTTATGTATATACCCGAACAAACAAATTTAGGCCCTTTGTTTACCATATAAAGCCCATGTTTGGATCCTCCTAACTAGAATGAGAGTCAAGAATCCCTGTTATAAATAAATCTCTTTTTACCCTTGAAGGTGTTTGAATCAGAGTTCGTTGTCCAGGGTAAGTGGTGTCAATTCTCATTTTTACCTGGTATTGAAGTAAAACAAATGCAGTCTTCATTTATTGACGCCTTTTTTGATAATAGAGTAATTTAATACACAATTTCATAGTGTCTCTCATCTTGACTGGTGATACATTAATTGGGGGATTGACTCCTAAATAAACACATTTAATTAGGGGAGCAGGTGGAAATCCATTGTGATTGTTCAGAATTTGCAGCCTTTCCTGACTTTTATTTCTCCAGCTTCCTAGATCTTGACATGTAATTGTTTAAGACATTTAGGCCTCTGTTGCTACCACCATCCCTTCCAACTAGATGGATAACCCAGTAGCAGTGGCAATTGGAGCCCTGGAATGCTGCAAAATGAAAACAGAAGAAAATAAGCTAAGGTAATCATGGATTAGAGAACTAGATTGCCAAACCGTGTTCAGTTCCAAGGCCACATTTAAAGAGGCTGTTGAGCAAATCTAGAAGATAGCAACCAGATGGCAAAGGATATGGCTACCACATCATATGAAGAACCACAGAGCTAGGGAGAAGGGAAGACTAAGGTAGTGATAAGAGAACTGTTACTAGCTTCCGCCTTTGCACTTTAGAGAGGCTGCCTGGCATAATAATTCAGAATTCAGATTTTTTTTTTTTTTTTTTT